AAATTTTTTAACGATGAGAACCGGAGAAGGGGCTCCCGGATGCCCCTCTGGGACAGAGCCAGCTGGGTATATCATGGACTCCTGGAAACAGTGGAACTTAATCTGCCTCTCTCAACTGTCTAGAGGATTCTGAAGATGTTTGGATATTCGTCGTTTTGGTGTCGGGATTCCTGCTGTTTGGCCTGAGCGGTTACCTGGCTTACCGGAAAATTAACAAGCTTTCGAGGAATATTGGCTCAATCCCGGAGCTCAGGGATGGAATGCATTGTGCTATGAACGCACAAACTCATATAATTGTCGAGATGAGTCGTAAGCTTAGAACTTTGGCTGAAATTCAGGCTCTGGCACAGAAGGTGGATTCCATCAAGGAGCGAGTTGACAGATCAGCACTGATTGGAATAGATTGATTACACCATTGGGTTGAAGACCAACAGAACTCTAAGGCAGAGAGGAAATTATCTCTGTCTGTCCCCAAAACAATTATCTGAATCTGGTGCCCTTGAAGCCTGTGAGGCTGAGGTGTAAACTCCCCTCAGAAGAAATGTGGAATGCTGCCATCGCTATGGAAACTCTTCTCCCTATCCCAGCCTGGGTGGGACTGTGACCGGTGAAGGCCGTGGAACCGTATCTAGGAGTCACTGTGCTCTCTAACCCATTATCTCCCTCCCCTGTCCAAACGGAGGTGATGAGCGCTGCTCCATGTGGCTGCACGCACTGAAGTGAGGAGAGTCCCAACCCTACCTCCCCACCTAGTGGACACTTATGTTGTGTTTGTTTGTTTGTTTGTTTATTAAGATCCCCATTAGCTGCTGACATACAGCCGCTATTCTTCCTGGGGTTTGAAGTCTGTGTGCATGTCTGTCTGAAGTGTTTTGTTGCATAGCAAAGCTGCCCTCTCTGTTGGGGGTAACTCTGAAGTGCCTTTTTTTCCCTCCCCCTGACTCTATCCTCATATAAACCCTCTTGATCTATTACGGTAGCACGACTCGGGTTGTGAATGACCACAGTCACCAATTCTTGTCGTGTCTATGCATGTATGTCTGATCTCAGAATTGTGTGTACTGAAACTCTAATTTCCCTCTGGGATTAATAAAGTATTTTTGAATTGAATTTGAATTGAATACAAACCAGTAGTGTTTTAATCAAAGAAAAACTAAATTAAAGATGCACCAAAGTCGAAATAAAACTAGACAAGAAGAGGGTAAAACAGGAGTAAGGAAATCATAGACATTCAGAAATAAATAGCAAAAACAAGTGTTTGGCTAAAACAAAGCCAGGTGGACTACAAATTGGGAAACCAACACAACAATAAGCTACAGCTGAGTAGATATTAGTACATGAAAACCAGGTGGATGGACCTGGAAACAAGCGAGCAGGAAGTAAGGTAACAGCAAAAATAAAGGTGACAGACTAAAATCAATGAGTACCCTTAATTAAAAAAGATCAAACTGTCCCATTAAAGAGAAGAAATTACTTTGTAGTACTTTGTTTTTGTTTCCATGTGGATTCTCAACAGCTGCTGTAGCAAAGTTAGCACTGATGCTTGATTATAAAGTAACCTGAAACAGCTAATTCATTAAAGTTTTTGTTCACCATCAATGGCTGCATTTCAAATTTTAATACATATAATATTAAAGGACATACGAAAAAATCACATCCAATACAACTCAATTCTACACATCAGTGTTAAGAAACACTTTACTTTTATAACTACCCAGATTAACAGGCCTCCTAACTACACTTGATGCTACATTTACTACAGTTTTGCTGCTTTTGTGGTATTGCAAGATAAGCGAGTGTGTGTCTTATCTGCTGATTCTAATAACGGCTGATAAAACACCAACCCACAACTCTCTCTATTCAGTAGCTCAGAAGGACTTTATTTCTGCCCAAAGAACAAACTTTATTCTGGACCTGAGAGGCAACACCAGTAGACAAGTTGGATCTGAAAGCCAGACCACCCAATCAGTCAATCACCCACACACATGCAACACAACACAACAGGGTGGTGGCCGAGGGGGGGAGGAGTCATTTCAAAGTAGCTCCATCAGCTGATGGCTATTGAAAAAAATGAAGCTCTCTGCTATCACTTGTCCTTCTGCTGGCTGCACTTCCTGCCAGTCACTGATACGACACTAATACTGCTTTAATTCTAATAACAACAATAACACTTCATGGATCAACAGATGGGTAATCAAACCCAGTGAAATGCTGGTTCATGTATCTTTGATTGGGAAAATATAAAACTGAATGTATTTGGTTTTGTTTAAGGATAAGATTATTAATGATCAATCACTTTTAAATGGTGATTATTGATGTTTTACAATTTTATGATTTTGCATTCAGGTAACAGAAAAGCTTAGTGATGGTATCTGTTAGACATCTGATTAAAGATGGCTTCCACAGCTGATCAATTTCACTAAAGCCTGGTTCACACTGTGTGATTCTCAGCTGTATTGAACAAATTTCTAGTCGTGAATGGAGTCGTGAATGTGAGTATGATTTTCAGGTCTGTAGCCGTCCCGCCGACAGCCTAATGAGCACTCTTACACGAACCCAGCTACCAAATGTCTCCAAGCAGTTTCAGGAACTTTATGACTCCACTCTGCAATCAACCAGTGAAAATACACCCAGGGAGCTGCATCAATATTAGCAACATCGGATGCTACACTCAAGAAGTGTGGAGCACTGCTTTTTGGGGCTCGTTTGAGAGTCAAATTAAAGATGTGCTAACGCTAGCACTTTTCCCCTTTCAATGTTGTCACCTTATATGTCAGCGTTTCGTTGGCATGTCCTTCTAGAGTGAAACATTGTGCAGTTTTACCAAGGGGGAAATTCGGCCAGCCAACACAGAAGTGACGAAAACTGCAGTTGCCAAATGACAACTTCACTGCAGAAATAAACATGTTTTCCAGCCTGGGTCAAAAAAGCATTTCATGTTCACCGCCATTAAAACTCAGAGAGGAGGTGGAATTTTTTTTTATAACTCATCTGTTTAGACATCATTAGAGCTGGAAATTATGAATAATTAGAGGTGTCTCCTTTTGTATCAGATGAACCGTCAGAGCTAGCACTAGCAACTTGCTTGCTCCAGGGAAGGTCTCAGCCTCACGTTTAAAGTGTTACAACCTAAAAGGCAGAGCAGAGTCACTCAACAGTGGGGTTTTTGGTTAAAAGCACCCGCCAACCTCAGTTAGCTTTAGCCCAGTTAGCTAGCTTATAGCTACATTGACTCACAGATTCATGGGTGTCAATCATCTGCCCCCACCCTCACAACCCTGCTCTGAGCTCCATTTTGGTTTTTTCCAAGAATGACGAGATGTGTGACATGGCCAAGATGGCGGCAGTTGGAATCGCAAACTAAGCCTCAATTCAGCTCTTCAGAAACCTACGGGTGACAGCGCAGAGGGTTTGTCCGTCTTATTTATACAGTCACTGAGTTTGAGTCACTATCTTGGGTGGTACAGTTGACCATCTTCTTGCAAGGTGTGACATGAGGCAGTCCAGAAGGTGCAGTGTTAACACAGCAGTGTCTTCCTGTGGAAGTAGCTGAGAGCAGGAGCAGACAAGGGAGCAGGTGGGGGTTGTGTTTTATAAAATCTTAATTGTATTTGTCAATGAGAAAATAAATAAATAAATTATATATATATATATATATATATATATATATATATATATATGTTTGGCATTTCTTTATTCATTTGAGAAACGTAAAAAGTCATAATATAATGTAGGGCTGGGCGATATGGCCTCAAATCAAAACCACAGTATATTGAGGATTTCACCTCGATAACGATAAACGGACGATAACTACAGATATATGCAGAAACAAAAGTTGTCCACTAGATGGGGCTGTAACATGTATTACATTGAGTCACATTTTTACGTGACTTAAGATGGTAAAGCTTCTTAAACGTTGCCAACCTACACACATCTTTAAAAAAATGTATTATCAAATTTACTGACATGGGAACAATTATCTCGACAAGAGTCAAGACATTTCGATAACAATACATTTTTGATTTATTGCCCAGCCCTAATATAATGTAAATCATGTAAAAATAATAATATGGTTTGGAATTCAATAATATTAATCAATTATCCAGATATCCTCTTATTTATTTATTTATTTATTTTAGCTTTAATGCTCTCTCAAAAAGTACGGGGTAGAGCCATTAAAGGGTTAATAACACTGTTCACGTCTATCTGTCCAGTAACACCTGAGCAGAGTTTTTATGCATCATATCTATTTATCACTGGTTTATAAAACATACAAAGCTCAGTAATAATCGTAAGATTAACTATGTATTAGCTGTTTATTGTAAACCAGGAATTTTTGAAATGTTATTTAATAGACCTTTTATGACAGAACAGAGGATTTTATTAGATTCATCATTTAACTGATGACGTGTGACTTGGTAGGTTGAATGGGAAAAACATTCACGTATCAGGGTGGGTGAAGAGATCAAATCAAGCAACTGTCATGAAGTTTATAGACATGTAAGACTTTACAATACTATCAATAACTTAAAAATCCTAAAGGTCAAATCCCAGCGGCAGCTAGGAGGTGTGGTTAAGTTTTTAATAATCATGTTATTTTAAATATTCATCAGCTGGGAGGGGTTTTGCATCGCTGATGACTGAGCGGGTCCACTCAAACATCAGACGTTTTACCAGCGCCTCTGGCTGCGTTTACACACACGCTTCAAAGGAAGTGATGCGCAAGAGTTACGTTTGACATAAATTATCTTATAAGTGTGGTTATATATATCCTGCTGCATCACAAGACTTGTGCGTAAAATCCACTGAACACGGGATGCGCGCAACAGTCGTGTTAAGGAACTTTCATTTAGACCACATGTGATCAGATTTTGATCCATGTGAGAGCATCTTTGATCAAACAAGCGTCCTCAGCCAAAAGCGTGCTGAGAGCGAGGATAAGTAAAGCATCCGGAGGAGCACTTCACCTGCAGGAGGAATAACAAACAAACGGGACTTACTCCGAGTGCAGATCTCACAGTCAGTATCACCGCCAGAAAACAAATCCTGCAGGAGAAATAAAAATTTTCACTAGTGAGTTTGATCCAATATGCGTTTATAAGAGGAGACGCACATCCCAGCTGCGCCTGACTGACACTTTCCACCAACATTTGCATCAACACTTACGGGAATTTCATTTTTTATCCGACTGGTAGAGAGGAGTCCTCAGATCCACACCAGAATTATCCTCACCAGGCTCTTCAGACGCGCTCATCGACTGCTCAACATGTCATCTAACCGGAGAGATAAAGTAGTCCCACACTCAACAGTCACCGCAGGTCCTCTAAACACACACGGATACGGCTTTTTAACTAAACCCACAACAGAAACCCGGTTTAAATCAGAATTCTGTCATAAAACAAGAAAAAGGTTCCCAACTCACCGAAGCGGTGCAGACCCCGTTGCGTGCTCCGTGCTGCAGTTCAGCAAGAACCTGCCAGGGGAGGAGGGGCCAGCGCGCGCGCGCGCGTGCACGCACTCAAGATGCCCGTGGATCCAGAGTCTGAGCACAACAGAGATCAGGTGTGCATCAGAGCGTCTCAAGCCAAAAAGAAACGTATATCCGATGTTTATTACAATAAACTGGAAATTTGTGCAAAAAAAATGAGTAAAATCTTTTTTTGCTAACTTTTCACCCACTCACTCATTATCGTATTCCTCAGAGGGCCACAGGGAGCTGCAGCCTCCAGCAGCAGGAGGACGCCCTGGACAGGACTCCAGTCCATCACAGGGATATACATAGAAAACCACTCACAGCTAGGGGTAATTCAGGCTCACCAATTAGCCTAACATGCTCTGGTCTGTAGGAGAAAACCAAAGAAAACCCACACAGGCATTGGCTAACTCTGTGCAGAAGGACTGCACAGGATTCAAACCTGCAACCTTCTTACTGTGTGGCAGTAATGCTACAAACAGCACCACCATGGAGCTCATACCACTTTTAGCTCTAAACATGCAGTGTGAGTCACTTAACAACCAACACTTCAAGTTTCAGCTCAAAATCTGAAAAACTGCCTGGAATTCTACTATATATATATATATATATATATATATATATATATATATATATATATATATATATATATATATATATATATATATATATATTTTTTTTTTTTTTTTGCAAGACTTGATCATTTGTGGTGGCCATCTTTAATTGGCTAAACCCAAAAATGAATCAGCTGCAGATGTGCAGTTAGTGATTACTTATGAAAAACTATTGAAATCCATTTAGTGGTTCATACAAAACATTACCAACATATAAGTGGACACACAGATGCAACGGCAAAAACATTATGGCCTGCCTTTCAATTCAATTCTATTCAAAAATACTTTATTAATCCCAGAGGAAAATTGATTGCTGTAATAGCTCAGAATAATAATAATAATCAAGTCGTCAAAGAGTTATTGTATATTACAATGGCTGTTGGCAGGAAGGATCTCCAGTAGCGGTCAGTGTTGCAGCGAAACTGAAGAAGCCTCTGACTGAAGACTCTTCCGTTGTCGGACAGTCTTGTGAAGAGAATGCTCAGGGTTGTCCATCATTTTCTTGATTCTCTGGAGAATCCTTCTTTGCATGATCTCCTCCAGTGGTTCCACAGTCGTCCCCAGAACAGAACCAGCCTTTTTTATTAGGCGGTTGAGCCTTTTCAGGTCCCTGCTTCTGATGCTGCTACCCCAACAGACGATGGCGGAAGAGATTACACTCTCAACAACAGACTTGTAGAAGATCTGCAGCATCTTGCTACAGACATTGAAGGACCTAAGCGTCCTCAAGAAGTGCAGTCTGCTGTGTCCCTTCTTGTAAATGGCTTCGCTGTTCTTTCTCCAGTCCAGTCTGTTGTCCAGGTGAACTCCAAGGTATTTGTATTCCTCAACCACCTCCACTTCTTCTCCATGATGGAAACGGTGTTTGACTCCATCCCGTTTCTTCTGAAGTCTAAAATCATCTCCTTTGTTTTGTTCACGTTCAAGGTCAGATGATTGTTTCCACACCATGCCACAAAGCGCTCCACCAGCTGTCTGTACTCTGCTTCCTGTCCATCTCTGATACACCCTACAACTGCAGAGTCATCTGAGTATTTCTGTAGATGACAGGTCTCTGATTTGTACTGGAAGTCTGAGGTGTACCGGGTGAAAAGGAATGGTGAGAGTACAGTCCCCTGTGGTGCTCCAATGTTACTGATCGCCTGGTTTGATGTGCAGTTCTTCAGCCTCACAAACGGTGGTCTGTTTGTCAGGTAGTCTTTAATCCAGGCGATAGTTGAGGCCCCCACCTGTGTCTTCTGGAGTTTCTGGCAAAGTACATCAAGCTGAATTGTGTTAAATGCACTGGAGAAATATAGAACATGACCCTCACAGAGCAGCCTGCTTTGTCCAGATGACAGTGGGTTGGTTGAAGCAGCTGGATGATGGCATCTTCAACTCCAACTCCATGGCGATAAGCAAACTGCAGCGGGTCCTGATATGTTCTAGTTTGCTTATTCAGGTGGACCAACAGGAGTCTCTCCAGGAACTTCATGATGTAGGACGTCAGGGCAACCGGTCTGTAGTCGTCATTGACTGATGGGCGAGTTTTCTTTGGAATTGGAACAAGGCAGGATGTCTCCCACAGGACTGGAACCTTCTCCTGGGCCAGGCTGAGGTTGAAGAGGTGCTGCATGCCAGGAAGCAATAAAACCATCAGTTAATGTGTGGGAGATGTCTGTTTTAAGTGTCCAGAACACACACACACACACACACACACACACACACACACACACACACACACACACACACACACACACACACACACACACACACACACACTTTTCTCACGTTGCTAACAGTTCTGTATTAGCACTCTAATGTTCTATTTATAGTCCAAGTCAACCTGAGCCATCAGCACTGATGATTTTACAGCATGCATCGTCACATGATGGATGACGTCGTCATGTTTTTGTTTGAAAGATCAATTCTATTGAGCTAATTTGAGCTTTTTACTGTCAGATGTTAGCAAGGCTAGATAGACTGACAGACAGAAAGACAGAAGCTAATGCAAACTCTTTGGAAATTTTAACCTGAAACAAGCCAAAAATCAGTCAGCTACAACCGACTATTTTTGTTTTCTTCCCAAAAGGTGAAAAACATGTTGTTTTAATTTACATTTGTGATTCATTTTTATTTCAACAGTTCTTAATTTAAATCAGGCAAGTAAAACAATGTCTGTAGAGAAACAAACCTAGTCCTGCTACAAGATTATTGACATTGTCAATCTAGTGTACATGGAAATTTCAGTTTGTTCAAACATAAATAAATAATGGGAGCATTTAGTTTATGGGTAAAACACCTTTTAAAAGGTCACTACAGAAATTTTATTCAACTTTTCGTTGGTGTTTTTATCCTTGTTTGAAATAAAAAGTTGTTAGTGAATTTACAGAATTTCAGGAGCTGTTTTGATTAAAAACGATGACATTCCTTAGGAAAACACTCACCGGGACATTAATAATTATCTGTCTAAGAGGGCGTTTAAATAGTAAAAACAGTAGTAGACCCAAAACAGAGCCTTGGGGTACCCCACAGAACAGGTCGGTAGAATTGGACATGATTTGGTTTATACAGACACTGTAACTTTTGTTAGAAAAATACGATCTAAACCAGTCTAGAACAGTTCCAGAGATCTCCACCGAGTCACCAAGTCTGTTAATTAAGGTGCTGTGATCAACAGCGTCAAAAGCTGCAGAAAGATCTAACAATACTAACACTGTGAATTCCCCGTTGTCTGCAGATGTCATGATGTCACTGGAAACTTTTAGCAAAGCTGTTTCTGTTGAACGATTTTTACGAAAACCAGATTGGAATTAGCCAAAGCTGTTGTGTAGTTCCAGAAAAGTAATCGGTTGGTCTTCCACAATCTTTTCCAATATTTTAGAGATAAAGGGTCATTTAGAAGTGGGTCTGTAACTTTTATGCTGAGGTGAGTCCAAACTTGTTTTTTTAAGGATGAGTTGAACAACTGCATGTTTGAAGACAGCGGGAACAGAGCCAGATTGTAAGGATAACTTAACAAAATCCACAATGCATGGGCCAATTTGGTCAAAAAGTGTAAGGAGCAAAGCAGTTGGTAGAATATCAAGTGCACTAAGTTGGCTCCATGATTTTCTGAATGAGACGAATGTTCTTGATATTTACAGGACTAAAGAAGGACCATGATTGAGATGAAGGTGGTTGGATGGGGGAGTAGGAAGTGGATGGAGTGAAAAACATGCCCTAATATTTCTGATTTAGCTATTAAAATTGTAGGATCATTTTAAAAACACAAGAGACCACACACCTGGCGATCAAAAAAACTAATCAAAGCTGTGAAAGTTTTAGTCCTTCAGTGTACAGCCGCACGGTAAAATGAAATATCACACACACACACACACACAACGATTTTACAAACTGATACTCCCTGGACTGATAGAAAGTCTTGCATAAGCTATCACAATCAAAGGTGTTTTCAGAGAAAACAAACACAGTGGAGGAAATGCATGCAGCGCGCTCCCATCACCTTGCTTTCTGATTAGATACACGTCACATTCAACAGTCAGTGTGCTCGTTTGTCCTGAAAATACTACCAAGACAATCCTACGTATTAGATATGTCCGATTTATGACCGGAACATTCTCTATGTCCATGCGAGCCGACCGGAGTACTCTTACTGACTTAAGAGTTTTTAACATTTTACTCTATTGCTTTTAAACTGGTTTCAGTGGTTCTCGAGGAAGAAAATTTACCAACTTCCCGTTCTGCTCACCAGAAACTGCACTTAACAGTTTTGTGGCACGAGTAGGTTCACTAAGTGGAGCTCTCCACCTGCTTTACGTCTGTTAGCTATTTATCGTAGCGGTAGCTCGTATAAAGGCTACATATTCTGGTAGGAATGTCTGATTTAACTATTTTAGAGCCATTAATCAGAGGTGTTCTTAGGATTATTGAAATGGTTTCTGGTTAAAAATCAGAATAATTCTATTTCTGAGTGAACATGTCTCTGAGTACCCAGCAGAGGAGCTTAGCAAAGAGCACAAGGAGGGCCATTGCCCCCAGTGGCCCATAAATAGGGTCACCACTGCATAGAAGGAAATATAAACACCTGTGTTGTTTTACTTATTGATTGTGTCAAATGTCAAGACCATTTGCGAGGATGTTAATTTCATTTTATTTTATTTTGAATGTTTTGGTCAAACAACTCTGAGTCTCTCAGTTTGTGAATCTAATGAACCTCCAAAACAGCAGCAGCATCACCTCTTCAGGAATAAAAGTGTAAAGGTGTCAGCTACAGTCGGACTGGAATGCAACATGTCAGAACGTATTAAAGCTTTTTAAAGAGACAGAATGGCACATAAAAGATGGTATCCCTCCGCCAGGCCCTAACACAAAACCCACTCTAAACTTTTCAGTGTAATAACCTGACGTCATCATGAAACATCACCCTGGGAATTCTGCACGGACCAAACGTGATCTCTAATTTGTGACCTTTCAGTGATAGTTTTAATTTCCCCAACTGGTGAAAAGTGCAGATTATAGCAGTGCGCGGTGGGCAAGCCGGGGGGAGGGAGAGAGAGAGAGAGAGCGGGCGGGAGGAGGGGAGGTGAGGGGGGGGTGCAGAGGCGCACAGTGCTAGAGCCAGGACCACGGGAGCCTCTGAGCGCAGCGACAGCCAGCAGCAAGTGTTTTTCCTTCTCTCCTCCATTCCCGAGGGCCAGCGCGCAGAGGAGCAGGGATATGACATCCAATTGAAGCGAATCTTTGTTTTTAGCCCGCTAGAGATCATGAGGCAAGGCTCGAAGCTGCTGGAGACGCTCTTCGTGGGTTTGCTCCTCATGAGCGTCGCGGTGCAGCGATCCGACTCAGCGGTGAGTTCCCGTTTCCTCTCTCTGTCCCTGTCTCCCTGTCTCTCTGTCCCTGTCTCCCTGTCTTTCTTGGAGCGGCTCTCCAGACGCATGATGACGCCAGACTGGACCGAGTCCCTGCTCCAGACTCTCTGCACCGGCTGCAAACCTGAATTAAAGTTTATAAACAGAGGCTGCTTTAATTACGATCCTGTTTACGCTCGGTTGGAATGAATATGCGCAATTTTGCACTTCTTTTCTGCCTTTAATTTTAAGTACAGGTGTTCCAAATATTTTCACTAGTGCATACTTTGTAGTTTCATGGTAGAACGGACGATGGTTCCCTGGCCGGCGCCTCCATGCGCTCATAGAGAGGGCAACCTGTAGCAACATGCAGCTCTATGGTGGAAAGGATTTCCAGCGCGTTATCCTTTTTATTATGGTGAAATGAAAAGGCTTTGCATGCAGCAGAGTTTATTAAATCTTATTTTTCTAAGAAAATAAACACCAAACATGCATTTCTGCCACTAAGACGCATTTGGAGCGTAATTTGGTTTTGTTCTGGGTTTGGGTTAGGGTCAGCTGGATTAACTAATCTCCAGGTGTTGTCATTAGCACACATTATGTTAGTGTTCATGGTGTCTGCTGCATGCTTCTGAATCTGGTGGTTCTGTCATTTTTAAATGAGATGCCTTTTACACGTGAGGTGTGCGAAGCAGGAAGTGTGTGTGTGTGTGTGTGTGTGTGTGTGTGTGTGTGTGTGTGTGTGTGTGAGTGTGTGTGTGTGCGTGTGCGTGTGTGTGTGTGTGTTCAAAGAGACTTGCTCATGACTCCGCCCACTTGGTATGGGCGTTCAATCAGGATCGAGCTCATGGCTCCTCTAATAATGCTGGAGGGAGTTTTAAAACCCCTAGGACACCAGATCTCTGAAGAGGATAGGAGTCATAGCTGATGGAGATATCTCTATGAACAACCTCAGCTCTGAGAAATAGAGATTAGTTCTGCTTAACCCTCTCAGGTTCAAAATAAGTTTTGATAAAAGTAGAAACAACTAAGTCATTCAGGGGTACTTCTGAGTTAAAAAATGCTCATGAAATATGTGTAACCAGGTAGGTAGATTTTAACTGTTGCAAATCTGCAACGCCTGCCTCCAGAGGGTTAAAAAGACGAGCTAATGACTCACAGTTGGTTCAGTAACAAAGTAGAGAAGCACCGATTTGGGTTTTTAGGGACAATTAATATATTCTTAATAAAATATTTTGAATTCCTGATAAACATTTTAAAACAATGTGGAAGTAAAAAGGCTCTTGAAGTTGGCTTCAATTAGTCCTTACTGATAGAGAGTTCACAGACTGTCTGAGATGTATGTGGAATGCTAACCGATTCCGATTAACTGATGGCTGTTTATTTAGGTTTTTTTTTTTTTTTTGTGTGTTTGTGTGTGTGTGTGTGTGGGTGGGTGGGGGGGGGGGGATTTTTTTTTGCAAAGTGTTCTATAGAAATTCCAGTCTCAAAACATTTATAAGGTTTTATGTAAATGGTCCTTTCCACTCTTTACATTGCTTTAGATCTCACATTCCGGGCTCATTTCAGTGGAATTCATTCCAGTCAGAAATGTTAGCTTGGTAGACGACTATGTCTGTAAATAACCACACAATTCTTTGTTGTGTGACCTTTCCTGGTTTTGTTCATAAAAAATAAATAAGTTCATAAAATAAGTTTAGAATGAACTTCAAGGAAACTTTTTAGACTAGAATAGCTTTTCCTGGCCGCTCTCAGACTAGCCGTTAGCTCAACAATCTGGTCAAAACTGTCTCTGTTTCTCTAAACAGAGGATGTTCAAACAGCTGTCAGATAAAAGAATAAGACATTCACTTTTCACAGAAACACTTAAAAAGATCTGAATGATCCCTTTGATGCATTTGCATAAACTTTATGAAGGGAATTGGCAACTTTTAGGCACATCAACAAATACATTTATGTATTTAAGCAAGTTATTACATTTCTTGATTTGGCGTCTTATGTTACAGAAATCTTGTATGCTTTGAAGGATAAAAAAATGACAAAACAAATTACAGACGCACTGATAATAATTTTAGATTCTTGTACAGCTCTCACCTGCTGGTATCAGTTCTGGTATATGTCTTAAAAATCTGTAATTAACAAAATATTTTATACTAATCTGATTAACTTACAATAATTAAAACCATAAATAAGAAATATCTGATTCTGCTAGAGCAATTTTAAAGGTTAATGATGTTGAATATTGGCTAATCCTGATTAGGAGCCAACGTTTGTGTGTTTCTATATTTTATATAGTGTGTTACTCATCAAACGTAGTCTTTCCTTGCTTAAATTCACATATCTAACTGTCAATATGTATTTAAGTAGGGGCAATGCAGGAGGATAGCGGCCCCTCTTGGCCATCACATTTGTGCACCACTGTGTGCAAGAGCAGATGAAATGGGAAGTCCGATTTTAAAGCCATTTAGGCTTTCTGAAAATGGGAAAAGTTAAATTCTGTTGAATTACTTTGCTGTAACAAACAGGTCTTGTTGTTCTGCAGGACAGAATTTATCTCAACAAACATGGCTGATTAATCTAGAACATTGTTAATCTGCAGGTTTTTTAATCATCTGTTAAAATAAAATAAAAACATTTCACGCAGTCTCCAAATTACAACCATAAGCAGCACTGAGAGAAGGAAAATCTACTGATTGCCTTTAATAATGAAAGATTTGCTGTGCAGAGTGTTGTGATAATAATGTTTGAATAAAGATGGAGCAAATCTGAAATCGTTACGCTCCAGAGGAAATTGACAGATGTTACGCTGCAGTAAGATATGATACATGATCAGCCTCTTCTCTATTTCCCCACCTTCCCAAAGGTCTCACTGAGGCCCTCTAGTGGAAAGAGTTAGCTTGACACAAATTATTCCCATTCATTTGTAAGGCTTGCTCCGTTTCAAATGCTCATTTCCTTCTTTATGAAACTTATAAAAAGTCTAAAAATACATTTATTTTAATGGAGTACATTATAAGTGTTGATTAAAGTTCTGCATGCTGTACCTGGCAGGGTTTTAGGAAAGATTGTCTTGCAGTAAAAGCTTGAAAATGTGCAACAATAGCTTCTCGTCCACTCTCCGAACCACAGACCAGAGAGCATGCATCATATGCACTGTGTGTCATCTGAGTATTAACATTCACTCTGATGTCCATCTCCATTCTGCCAGGTGAGGGAGTTCAGTGGTAACGTACACCCACAGCCTTTCCTTTCAACTCGTCATGCCTTGCAAACCACAAACACACACTCAATTTGAGGTGTGTTTTCCTGACGTGCACGCGGATCGAGACACACACCCTTTGTTATGGGTTCCCTCACCTTTGCACGTGACCCGAAGCTCATGTGGAATTTGGTGTGGGGTGGGGGGGTGAGGCGAGGGCTCCTTTAGTCATAACATCCGCATGTAGCAGCGGGGAAAATAAAGGTGTGTGACATCGAGATAACAACAGCAGCGCCGCGAGGGGGAAGCTTTAACTTCTCTCAAAGTTTTTTATTTTTCTTGTTTTCTTTCTTCGTTACACCGTCTGACCTCCAGAACAATCAGCAGGTTTTCATGATGGTGGAACTGTAATTCACACAGGCCAAGATGTTGTGATTAAAAACAAGGTTTCTGGGTAGGAGTGTAACAGTACATCCATACATTGAGTAAATGATCACTGAGCCAATGGTGTTGGTCCAAAAAAGCAAAAATCCATGTAATAACTATTTATCAGATGCACTTTTATTTTGAAAATAGCTTCATTTAGAAGTTTTCTTTGTCATAAGACAGTGGTTTAAATGTCTGAGCTCAGAAAAAAAATGCGGAAAGATCTAGTTGCTTTTTACGATTTTGATTTGAATGGATGCAGACGAGGTGGCTCACGCTTCTAGTTAGGATGCCTCCTGGATGCCTCCCTGGTTGAGGTTTTCGGGTCCATCCAACCGGGAGAAGACCTAAAGGAAAACCCGGGACACACTGGAGAGACTACGTCTCACGGCTGACCAGGGAACAGCTTTGGATTCTCCTGGAGGAGCTGGCCCAACCGTCAGGGGCAATTTGTTCACATTTCTGTTCCTCTGTTACATATTAATTTAGTACTGGTAGCGAACCCGTACTTTATGTGTTCTAGATTCAATAGAAACGTAGAAACTGAATAATATGAGTCTCTCTGGGGTGGATTCTGACCATTATAAAACCGACTAGCAAATGTAACACAACTTATTTCAAAAGACTTTTAGGAGCTCAGAAGAATTTGGACACTTGGCCGTTTGGTTGGCCAATTCATTAGTTTCTCATTGAATAGCTTGGCTAATTAACCAGTTATTCAATTATTTTGCCAATTAATTTTTTTAACAAATTGCTTCCGTGATGAAAAGGTTGGTCAAGGAATTGGCTGGTTGATAATTTCGGTGGTCAACATTGACTGTTTATAAAATATGGACGAACCCTCTGTGCCGTCACTTGTAGGTCTTTGAAGAGATGAATTAAAGCACAGTGGGCGGTTCCCACCACCTCCATCTTGGCCATGTCGTCTTGTTACTTCTAGAAAACACAAAACTAGAGCTGAGAGCAGGCTGTGAGGGTGGGGGCAGATGATTGACATTCATCAAATTCTGAGCAGATGTTAGCTACGAGCTAACTGCTAACCCGAAGCTAACAGAGGTTGGCAGGTGCTTTTAGCCAGAAAACTGCAATTGAGTGACTCTGCTCTCTGACTTCTAAGCTGTACCACATTTGATGTGAGGCTGAGGCCGGAGGAGGGCAAGCTGCTAAAGGTGGCACTAGTGACTCAAGGACATTTTTGACCAGAGCAGAGTTGAGCTACAGACGGCAGGATTTGGAGTCCTGATATTTGGACATCTCACTTCTAATTGGCTAACAGCAACACGACTCTACCCCTGACTATTTGTTCTGCAACGCTGATGTTTTATCTAAGCCTGGAGGAGTTCTGCTGTGTGGTGGAGTTGCTAATGCTAATTGT